ATAAAATAAAATAAAATAAAATAAAATAAAATAAAATAAAATAAAATAAAATAAAATAAAATAAAATAAAAATGTGCAGTAGTGAAGGTGCTTCAGATTTTTTACACTTCTTTTTGGCATGCCTTAGTCCTGCCAGGTATTCAGGAGAGTGTTGAATTTCCCTGAGATACACTGTTCCTCCGTGTTGTAAACCACAGTCCTGATTTTAAGGCAGGCTGTATTTGTTTCCCAGACTGCCTTTCTTTGTGTTTACAGAAGAGTCAGTTCGTGGCTCTGCCTCTGGGTGGCAGTGTGTCTGGATTGACCTCCTTGGCTATAAGTCCTCTCTATCAGTAGCGTTTATTTTCTCTATGGTACTTGAAACTGGTTTGGGAAAGTCCACTGCCCAGAGCTGGTTCTTTGATCATTACTCCCCGCTCTCTTTCCCCTACAGGCTCTGCGAATGACCCCAACTGGGGAATCCCATGCACTGGGTTTAATAATCAAACGCACGAATCTAAGGGGAACTGTAACAACAAGAGCCTGATACATTGTGCGAATTCGCAAGCCTCCACCTTCCAGGTCTGCGTGCAGTCTCCGCATGCCCACTTGCCCCTGGCACCAAGCAGCAGACAGACTGGCAAAATCCAAGGCTGCTTTTTTGCATCCAGTCCAGCTATGGGCTTATTTTTAGCATTCCCTTCTGCCAGTAGCCCTGTGGGACCCCTTCCTCACTCGCAGGTCATGCTGGTCCCAACGGCCGAGGACTTTGTGGGGCGCAGATTTCGCCCGGCGCGCGGTTCTCTCTCCAACCTGAATTGCAAACCGCACCTTTAGGGGAAGTCTAACCTTTCCATGAGAAGAAGCAGTGCTCTTCTGAGTTCACGCAGTAGCGCTGCTTGAAATACCTTGTTTCCAGGTTAGTAGCTGATCTCTGGATGCCGGTAACAGCCACTCAAGATGGCGCGGTCTGCTGAGCCGGTGCACCCGCACCAGGAGAGGTTTCAGCCGCAGTCTCCAACCGTCCTTTTTTCCCGGGAGTTCTCTGTCTTTCCCAGCTGCAGACTGTCTCTCAGCTGAATATCCTCTGCCTATTTGGGCTGTATGTTACCCGTTTCAGCTGCTCACCCTTATCTGCTCCAGGACAAGGCACAGGACACGTCCATTTATACCTCTGCCATTTTCCGATTTTTCTCACCTGGTCTGATTTTTATTTACTCCAATACACATATGCCTTCTAGCAATGCATATAGGCAGATCAAAGGTAAAGTTTGGTAAACCAATATAAAGATTATCAGGTCAGGAAATCGCTTCAAGCCATTGCAATAATGGCAGGATTCAGCCCTGCTGAATATCAAAATCCATTTGTCTTCCAATGTTAACTGTTGTTTGCTTTAGCCCCCAGAATTTTCCCCTTTTTGTTTTAATAAATTTTGAAAAGCATATGCCCTCTTTATGGCTTGAGGCTTTTTTAAGACTTTTCATTCTTCTTCTGCAGACTAGAAATAAATAAATAAGACTAAGAATGAGATGGACAATAGTGGTTATGCTAAGAGGCAAATGTAGAGAGATCCAATGAAAAGGATTGAGTTCCTTCATGTCCTTTTAAAATTGTTGTCAGGCATTTAAGGAATTAGTCTCTAAGTTTGCCTGGGGCTTCCGCTATTTGGGGCTGGAATAGTCGTCTGTCTGTGGCCATAGGTACAGGTTGAGGATTCAGGTGCAAGGTCCTCATTAGTTTGGTCAGTTCCTTCCATGGCTCTCTGTTGGAGTTTGATGTTCCTTTGCAGGAATCCACATGGGCTTGGAGGAGTTTTCTGGAAATACATAAGCATATTCTCGACCAAAGGTTAATAAAAGCAAAAAAACCTTTGGGAACTTTCAAAACACCAGACTTAGACTTTTTTTCATTTAATTGAGCCTTTTTTCTTTTGGCTTATTATGTCACCAGTATAATTTCACTGGTGTCTTGCCATCAGTGTTACAAGAGAAAAAAATTGAGATAATTAAGGCTTGGTATAGTCACTATTCCCCCTTTTTGTTTTTCAAGTTTGGATTTTAGCCACTGATGTTGGCATTCTATAATTGCCTGTCCTTGGAAACTGTATGTTATTCCTGTAATGTGTTGAATTTTTACAAAATTGCTGGCCCTTGAGGCAGATGTAACATATAAGTGGGACATTCCTTGACAATTTGTTTTGCCTGCTGTTGAGTGATTGAGAATTGTTTAGACAACATTTTGGCAGGCTGATGTAAAATCTGATGGGATTCTGTGGCTTGCTGTAATAAGGCAATCAACTGATCAGCATATGCATTTCCTTTTGTTAAAGGACAAGGCAGGTTTGTATGAGCCCTGATATGAATAATATAAAAGGGATATTGTCTTTGCTGTACAATTTGCTGTACCTGTTTAAATAATACAAATAGAATTTGGTCATTGAGACATTTTATTTGATCAGTCTCAGTTTTGTTTACCAGGCCAGCAGTATAGACAGAATCAGAAATAATAATAAGAGGCTCTTGGAAATCCTGCAGTGCAGCCTTGATAGTTTTAATTAAATTCTTTACACAGAACTATGACTGGTCTGGATGACTCAGTTTGAATCCATTGCTTGATAAGAAGCTTTACCAGTAGATGAACCATCAGTAAAAAACAGTTAATGCTCCAGGAGCATAATAGGTTCCTGTCTAGTATTCTTTGGTATAGTAATAAGGGTATAATAAAAACTGTAGTAACTTGTTTGTTTGGTTGTTTGTTTTTTGTAGGTGACAACTAAGTTCCCCTGAATATTCACCTATTTCAATTTACTAAAATAAATTAGTCTGAAATAAGGTTTATTTTCTAATTTCATTTGTCCTGGGTGTGGGCAGCAAATGACACTAATTGTATTTTCTGCTATCAGTCTTCTTGAGTACATTGACATAAGCTATTTACCCTTTGTTCAGGGAAACTAAATGCAAATTTACTTTTAAGTGTCCTTGGTTTAGGGAAGATAGGATTTACTATATGGCCCCAAACTCCTTGGCATTTATATTTTCTAGAATTCAGATGGTTGCAAACTGCAGTTTATGCTGTATTTGCCATCTTATTGTTCGAGTGAGGCAAGCTACAAAATCAGAAAATGATTTCATATGTCTCTGCACACACTTAATAAAAGCTCCCATAGGATTTCCTAAATATATTGAATAAATTTATTTCTCCTGTAGAGATTTTTAGATAAAGTCTTAACTAATTAATGTTCCCTAATAATTTCTAAAAGTCATTTAAGGTCTTAAGACACTTTTCATATTTTTACCTTTTGAGGCCTAATACATTGATTTTCAATTACAGTTTCTAGATATTTCAAGAGCGTTTCTTTCTGTACCTTTTTTGGAGAAATTTTTAAGCCCTACTTAGGAAATTTCTTTTTAGTTGGGTAAACATTGCTAAAGTTTGCTTATTCTGTGAGCTTGTCATAAATTGCTACATTAAAGACTTTCACTTTCTTTTAAACAGAACAACCAACTTGGTTGCCTTTCAGAAAAGCAAATAGGAGAGAAATATGTTGGCCAATACTGCAATGCATACATCTCAAGTAAAAGTAACTTTCTTTATACTTATGGTGTCTCATTAATGGTGAGATTTAATGCTTGAATAATAATTTTTAGTTGTTTTTGTAAATAGCAGTGGAGGAGATTTTAAAATTTCTCCTTTTTAAGCTTAAATTTACTTCTAAACAGCATATTTTGGCTAGTGCTTATTTGCATATATATGCAAATTTCACTTTGGACTTACTATAACCAGTTGCTCATAAAATATTAGCTTCTCATATAAATGAGGTTATATGAGATCTTGATTATATTGTGAAAAGCTAACTTATTAAGTAATAAAATATGCACTTTTATTGAAAAAGCAAAGTAAGCGAATCTATATATTTGACCCATGAAGTACAGATGCCATCCCAATCCCAGCTAATATGAAGAGCAGGCTGAGTGGGGTCTGAGGCATTATGTATGCTCCTGTTTTGAAATTCTGCTGCTGAATATTATGGTTTTGCTTAAGTATTCAGCAACCTTGTCCTGCCAAGCTTAGAAGTTGAAATTTCTATAACATTTTTTTTTTCAATTTGGAAGCAGAAATTTATTGACCTTACAGTTGACTTGGAAAACATTGGAAAAAACTGATTAGAGACAGGAGTACCAGAGAGAAGTGTCGAAAACGAACTATTGAGGACTTGGAATGCCATTCCAGAAAATTTTTTCTGTTTAAAAAACTTTGCAGCAGTGTTACTCTCCATGTTTGCATACACATACGCTTGTGAATCTTTGTTCTCAGTGATGAATTTTCTTAAGTCTCGTAATAGGAGTAGTCTGACAGATGAAAGTAGTAGCTTGTGCATATCTCTGAAGGTCACGAAATATAAAGCTGACGTAAAATCTCTATCATCAGTGATGCAGCAGTAAAAGTCCCACTGATAATATCAAATGGAGTCATAAAGTTTTCCGTCGGACTATCAGTGTACATGAATACCTTAAAAAATAAATGTATTTTTCATCATCATATACTGTGTTTTTGTCAAAATACACCTTAAGAGATATCAAGTAGGCGTAACATGTTCTCAAAAAATTAGGGTTGGCATGCAGAAGAATTTTGAGTCAGAGATTTTGCTGGTTTTGGCACGCACTCACAAAAAGATTGCCCCCTCCCTGACCTAGGACAATTTTATTGTGGCCTGGAGAATCAGGTTTTCCATCAGAATGAGAAAAGGGCTGATCTTCCTGCTCATAGAAAAATACACTTTATATGAAAAACTCCCTGTCATTGTAAACTGGCCAATGCTGGGCTAGAGAGAAAAGGGCGGGAGAGGAAGGTGGGTGGTGAGGGTTCTGTAGGAAGTCCGCTTTCTGGTCTCTCACTGTTGGATACAGCTAGTGGCAAGGAGGGATATTTAAAATATTTAACGGGGAGGGGGAAGGGTGCACGCTGACCAATAATCATAGCTGTCACCTGAGCCAGCTCCCAGAGGCCCCCTGCTGGGCCCTATGTTCTGCTTTGGTTGCAGGCTGGTATGAGGTGGGGAATCCAGGGGAGGGCCCTGGGCTGTGGCTGTTTACCCACAAGGGAAAAGTTTCCACATGAACACATGGTGTGACTGTAGCATTTCACAGCAGCCAGAGGTCCCGGTAGGGATAAAAACTGGTGGTCTTGATCACCTCTGACTGCCTGGTTCTTCCTAAGTGCTTATTGCAAATGCCCACAGCCTCATAGGCTCAGGGACAGACTTGCAGATGTTGGTCCTGGGGCACAGCTGGGTGCCTCTGTGTTGCAAAAATTCCTGCCTAGTCTGACATCTGAGAAGCCAGCAGCTTTCACAGAAGGATCCTTTCCCTTCTCACCCAGAATCCAGGCTCTTCCACTGAAAAGAGGAGGGGCTAGACTCCCACCACTAACAGATTTCTGCTGGAAGGGCTTCCACACCTGCCATTGCACCAGCTTCCTTTCTCATCCTCCAGGGCCTGGGTAACACCAGCATCTGATAAAGGTGCGATGTGCACTGCGGTTTCCACTTTCCTGGAAGATCAGCCATCTTATCTCCTGCAAGTGAACAATCAGGCAGTGAGTTTCCTAAGATGAGAGGCAAGAGGTGGCATGTGAGGCAATATTCCAGAATGACAAGGGGACAGTCATCTGCCTTATCCTGAAACAGGAGTCTATGTAAACAGATCCCTTTCCATCTTCACAGTCTGAAAACCTCTGGCTCTTTTTTTCTCTTTAAATCCTTGCTTTTGGAGGGAAACAAGATGGCAACCAGCAGGAAGGTAGGGAGGGAGAGAGTGTGAGAGCGCGAGGGAGTGATAGAGGAGTGTGTGGACGTGTGTGGTGTGTGTGTATGAGCTAGGGACAGTTAGATTCTGCAGGTTTTCTAAGGGGCTGCTAAACCGGGCAGTCTTAGACGGCAGAACCCTGTTCCCTGCACGGACACTCTTAGGCAGCCAGCACATGCACAGAGACCATGCCATCTTGAGAAACAGAGCTGCTTGAGACTAGGATGCTGGTCTCAGCAACACCCAGTCTGGACTCAGACACAAACCAGGACCCTGCAGCCACTGGAGACAGAGACCTGCGACCACAGCTACAGACCCATGGACACCAAGAGTCCAGAAATCCCCGTGGCAAATCCCTGAGTAACAGAGCCCATCCCCCTCCCCACAGGCTTGCAGGCAGCTCCATAGTAACTGATAGACCCACCCCTGTAGGAAGAGCTCAGGAGATTTATCTCAGTGCTGTGGCAGATGCAATGGCGTGAGCACACTCCGCCTGTACAAGCTTCCTCGGCACACCGGAAAGTGGCAGCGCCTGCCTGAGCAAGCCTCCTAGAGCCCCTATATAGTACCCTGATCTTTCCTACTATTGGTT